TAAATTTTAGACAACAAAATCCTAACTTAAACAAGAATTCAAGTACATGTGAGTCTAATTATTCATTAAACAGGTGTCCAGCAGACAGGTTATTATAAAAGAGCGTTACTTAACAAAGAAAACCCCTTCCCATTTCATGCTATCAGCAATGGCACCACATGGAAGAGAAATGTCACAAGGCCTGAGAAAGAAAATAATTTCTTTACACAAGAAAGGTGAAGGCTACAAGAAGATCAGCAAAGCTTTACTTATCAGTCAGAATACTGTACCAAAAGTGAAACAAAAATGTAACAAATATGGAATTGCAACCATCTCACAGAGACATCCAGGCCATCCATGGAAGTTAACACCTCGACAGGAGTGTCTTTTGATTGAGAAGGGTTGAAGAAAATTTCCATGCAAGTTTACTGTAGTTGGCTACAGTAAAACTGGAGTGATTGTTTCCTATGACACAATACGGCGTACACTGCAAAGGAATGGCATGTATGAGTGTCGTCCACGAAGGAAGCCTCTCCTAAACTCCATGCACAAAAGGGCCCGTTTAATATTTGCCAGGGCCCATGCTGAAAAAGAAGATGGCTACTGGGACTCTGTACCCTGCAGTGATGAGACAAGATAAATGTTTATGGAACTGATGGCTTCAAAACTGTATGGCGTCACAAAGGTGAGGAACACAGAGAGAAATGCATGGTGCCTAGAGTGAATTGTGGTAGCAATGTCCTTCTGTAGGGCTGCTGGTGTTGGGGAGCTGCATTTTATTGATGGCGTCATGATTTCACAAATATACTCCTCGATATTAAAAGAGAAGATGGTCGTCATGCACTTTTCCAACATGACAATGATCCAAAACACACATCTAAGGCCACTGTTGCATTTCTGAAGAACAGGGTGAAAGGGATTAAGTGGCCAAGTATGTCTCCTGATCTGAAGCCAATCAAACACCTATGGGGAATTCTGAAGAGACGAGTTGAGCATCACTCTCCATCCAGCATCCAGGCTCTAAAAGAGGTCGTTCTTGAATGGAAAAAGATAGATGTTGCAATATGACATCAACTTGTGCATTCCATGCCTAGAAGACTTGGTGCTGTCCTTACAAATGATGGAGGTTATACAAAATACTAGATGTAGTAGTTTTTGTTGTGGGGTGTATCCATTTTTGCATTAACTAATTTGAGAAAAACTGAAGGTTTTGTCATCTAAGTTATATTATTAACATTGCTTTCATGTAATGAGCTAAACAAATGTTCTATAAATCTCAGTTTTGTCAAAAATTTTGGAAATTGTTCTTGTGTTCATTGAGATATTGATTAAAATCTTACTTTTCAAAAGGGGGGTGTACTCATTTATGCTGAGCACTGTATATGTAGTTTACCAAATAAGAATACTTTTGCTCCGCTGTCTCCTGTAATTCGTGGCAAATTGAACCAATTAGCCTCTCAGCAAAGAAGATGGAGAGAAGCTCAGGTTAAACAACTTGAGGCCAGCCTCCTCTAAGCCTCTCAGACCTTTTTATCTGACCTGACTCCTGTTCATCAAGCAAGGCTGATTAGCCTGAAAACTGAACTGAACCTATGCCTTACCCATTTAGCAGACCAACAGATTAAGGTGGACATAGTACCAATTCTGTCTAAAAGGCAAAACGCCGGACATATTACTGGCTAATAAGCTTTGTGACACTGGGACAGTCCTTAAACTTTATCTACATTTGAGCAATGGGAGCCTTACAGCGAACCCAGTTAACATTTTGCATATTTTCCAGGAACACTTAAAAATATGATATATTAATACAGGCCTACATATCGCCTGTATTGTCCTTGGTTTCTTATCTGGATCAGGGTTTTACACATCTCTCTACAGGCCTACATTCGATATTCTGGTTTTCAATCAGATGAATTATCTGCCAACAGAGGAACAAGATAGGGTTGCCCCATGTCCTCACTTTTGTCTGCTCTCGCAATAGAACCCCTGTCCCCGGCAATCTGTCAACACAGGGATGTGCAAGGGATTGAAGTGGCAGAATACCACCATAAAATATGCCTATTTGGCGATGATGCCATTCTTGTGTTAGCCAACCCATTCATCTCTCTCTCGTCTTATGCTGATATTGACCCTGTTTGGCCAACTCTTTTGACTTTGTTAATGAGACCAAACCTAAGGCCCTAAAGGTCTTGCCCACATTGCCCTTCTGGACCCCTTCCTTTTTGTCCTATTTAGTCAATAATCTCACTTCACCAGTCACTCTCTTATCAGTCAACTATTCCAAACTGTTAACCTAGGGAAAACACTACATATCCTGATTGGACAGGATCACAGCAGTGAAGAGGACATTACCCAGAAATAAAAAAGGAGGGGAGTAGAGCAAGGAAGAAATGCGGATAAAAGAAAACAAATAGATCGATCCTTCTTGCTTTTTTTTTTTTTTTTTAAAAAAAAACTGGGGTTTTTTTTTTTTTTTTTTTTTTTTTTAAAGCTAAAAGCTGGTATCAGTATTTTTTTCTTTCTACTCCAAGAAGCTAAACAGTGTTATCTTGTGTCCATGCACACTATTCTTTAGACTAGTAGCATTTTTCAAGCTTCATCGTTTAGGAGCAGAAAACATTTTTTTCTGAAGAGAGTTTTTGGGAGTGTTTTTCATGCAGAAAAAAAAATACTGAACACTCCTAAGGCTCCAGGCACACTTCTCTTCCTTTTTTTTTTTTTTTTTTTTTTTTTTTTTTTTTTTTTAAGCTAAAGAAATGCTGGATAAAAAATGCTGGTAACTGTTCCTTGCAAAAACACTCCAAATATGTCAGATTGCGAGGGCATCTCCTGTGCACAGCCCTCTTCAGATCACCCCACAGATTTTCAATCTGATTCAGGTCTGGGCTCTTCTGGTGAAGCCATTCCTTTGTTGATTTGGATGTATGCTTTGAGTCGTCATGCTGAAAGATGAAGTTCCTCTTCATGTTCAGCTTTCTAGCAGAAGCCTGAAGGTTTTGTGCCAATATTGACTGCTATTTGGAACTGTTCATAATTCCCTTTACCTTGACTAAGGCCCCAGTTCCAGCTGAAGAAAAACTGCCCCAAAGCATGATGCTGCCACCACCATGCTTCACAGTATGTATGGTGTTCTTTTGATGTGCAGTGTTGTTTTTGTGCCAAACATATCTTTTGGAATTTATGGCCAAAAATTTCAGCCTTTTTTTCATCAGACCAGAACACATTTTTCCACATGCTTTTGGGAGACTTCAAATGTGTTTTTGCTAAATTTAGCCATGCTTGGATGTTTTTCTTCGTCAGAAAAGGCTTCCACCTTGCCACTCTACGCCATAGCCCAGACATATGAAGAATATGGAGATTGTTATCACATGTACCACACAGCCAGTACTTGCCAGATATTCCTGCAGCACCTTTAATGTTGCTGTAGGTCTCTTGGCAGCCTTCCAGACCAGTTTTCCTCTCGTCTTTTCATCAATTTTGGAGGCACATCCAGTTCTTGGCAATGTCACTGTTGTGCCATATTTTCTCCATTTGATGACTATCTTTACTTTGTTCCATGGTATATCTAATGCCCTGGCAATTCTTTTGTACCTTTCTCCTGACTAATACCTTTTAACAATAAGATCTCTCTGATGTTGGAAGCTGTCTGCGGACCATGGCTTTTGCTGTAGGATGCAACTAAGAAAATGTCAGGAAAGGCCTACTAGAACAGCTGAACTTTATCTGAGGCGCTTTAAATGATGGCAGGTGTGTACGGACTCCTATTTAACATGCTTTTGAATGTGATTGCTTAATTCTGAACACAGTTACATCCCCAGTTATAAGAGGGTGTGCACACTTATGCAACCACATTATTTTTTAGTTTTTTTATGTTTACTCCCCTAAAATATTTCAGTTTGTTTTTCAATTGAGTTGTACAGTTTATAGGTCACATTAAAAGTGGAAAAAGTTCTGAAATCATTTTGTCTTTATCTCATTTTTTTACATCACAGAACCCTGACATTTTAACAGGGGTGTGTAGACTTTTTATATCCACTGTAAATGTTGAGTTGTACAGTAGAAGAATATCTGTTAACCATATGCAGCCCTAACATGACCCATATAATGTTCCCTGTACATGCCTGTCCCACCACAGACTGCACTTACTGGTACTCCATGTTTCTTCATTCTGGATATCAGACTCTTCCTGGGTATGCGATGTCCCATCACAAAACACACTTTGATTTGGCAGCATCACAGAAAAGTCCACAATTCTCTGCTCCTCTCACGTTCCTTCTTATGACTTCCATTGTCAAGTTATGGGTCTGTTTTACCTGTCTTGTTTTAATTTTTGTGGATTTTTTTGGTTTCACAGCCCCTCATTGGTTTAGGATTGGTGTTCTTTTGGATAGAATCATTCCCTTCTTCCTGCAAGGCAGCGTTCTTCTTTGTCCTGGTCTTGAGCATCAGGGTAATTTTTTTGTAGCTTCCCTTTTAGTCATTAGCAACTTCCCCTGTCTTTCAGGGGATTACACTTCAGTTTTGACATTAATCCTTTTAGGTGGTCTTGAATTACAGACATTCCTTTAATTGTTTTATGTGGGCCTGTCGGTGGCTGCTGCCCACCCCTCAGTTGGACTGTTTCTGGACATCCCAACCGCATCTGGATTCCTGTGTTCCTGAATAGATAAAAAACCAGAAAAATGATTTCTTGGAGTCCATTGAGAGACACATGTCCCACCCCTCTGTGTTTTTTGCTCTTCCCCTTGGTAGAGATTTTTCACAAAATTGAGGCAGGCTAGGTAGAGGAGGGTTCAGATGTACTCTGAACAATAAATACTGTAATCCATATAAAACTGAAGCACTGTATAGGAGGTTTTGGTGTAGGTACATGAATATTCATATCCTCATCAGAGTTGTTGCAGGATTAGCATTTGTGTAAGGAGTGGAATATTAAATATATCCATGTTCTTTATTTTCTGTGAAATAGAAATATATGAACAAAGACTTATTATCTGTATGTATATTTTGATGTGTTGCAGTATGCCGTTCAAATAAAAGTCCATGGGTCTGTCTGACATGTTCCAGCGTGCACTGTGGAAGGTGAGTATTGGATAATGCTGTCTGGTTTTAGTCTTCTTCCCCCCCCCCCCCCCCCCCCCCTGTAATTGGGTGATATGTTTGACTAACTTTGATATGTTTGACTAACTTTACAGTTCCTCAAGCAACATTTAAACATCTCAGAAGTCAAGTAGTCATGTTTATAGGCCCAGCATGTTGTGACTGATCTGCTGTATTGTGAAATGCTTTGGTAGTCCTAAGAGTGGAGAGATACATAACTGCCTAAATGGGAAAACATAAATGGTTATGATATAGTGAATGGGGATTTGTAAGCAAATGAAACTACTATGTAGTTCATTTCTTTGCCTGTGGTCATGCTTCTCACTGAATATTCACCACACTTAATATAGTTTTTTGTTTTTTTTGTTTTGTTTTTAACTTGAGTGAATGTTACTAGAATGGTATTTTGTATGTAGCCTATGTCATTTTCAATATTCTACTTTCACTATGACAATGTTTCTCCCCTGTCTGTGTGGCACTGTACCTTCTCATCTTCTGACCTCTCTGTTCCCTTTCCTTGGCTCTCTCTTCCCCCCTGCAGGCTATGCCCTCTCATCTTCTCAATGCATTACTAAACATAAAGGCAATAATACTTACCTTAGTTCCAGCAGTCTGATGCCCACAACGTCCCACCCAGGATCTTATTCTCAGATTCTTCTGGGTGTTGAAGTTCAGCTGCTTGATTGGCTGGCATGGGGTGTTGTCACTCCTGTACCTGTGCAGGAGTGCAGATCAGTGTATATTCTACACTGGATTGCAAACAGGCCGGTGAGTGTTTTTAGTTTTTTTCAGTTTTTAGTTCCACATTAGGGAGTTCTTCCAAATTGTATTGCATTTTAGCAGATGTAGGCCCATTACTGTGCTGCTTCCGAAGCATTCCAGCTGTAGAATTCAAATTCAGGACTGTAAATCTACTACTCGGTATGCTGCAGAAATGTCAGAGTGCTTTGCAAGTACTCTGAGATTGTGTGCGCTGTCAACAAAGTCAGGGATGAGACACAGACAACAATACTAGGTGTCTGCCCTCTTTCATTTTAGGATTCCTGTCTTTCAGTTCTGAAAGGTGTGCTTAAAAGCTGAACTCCAGGCAGATACAACCCCAATTACAAAAAAAACAAAACGCACAAAATAATGCAACATTTGTGTTCATTCATCCTGTTTTTTCATACTATCATTGTAAGTACCAGAATGGTTCTTTGTATCAGCCACTTGCAGACTGTGTACAGCAGACCTCAGAGTGGGGAGGACAAAGCAGCACTGTAAGGATGCTGATAGGCAGAGATGTGCAATGTGGTAGAGCTGTGTAACTGTAGGACTGGATAGACATAATTACAAATCGTTTAATAGGTAAAAAAAAGATCCCATATATGCAATTTTATTGTGTATTTTAGCTGTTTGCCTGGAGTTCAATTTTGGGCATCCTGTAATCGTGAGATCAGTCTGGCTGTTTTTTTGCCCAGTCGGGTGACAATCTGATGTCTGTGGTGGCAGCTGCCCGCTGACAGTGAGGTTTTAGGGGAAATGCCAATCAGGCAGGTGAGAAAACCCGTCCCAATTTTCCCCAAGATGATTAGTGCTTAGTTTTCCACCTATGTTCGCTCTCCTTCACTTTGCCAATTCTCTTCCTCTTCCACCCATGTCTGCTTTTCTTCACTCCGTTCATTCCCCCCTCTCACTCATGCCTGCTCTCCTTTACTTTGCTCATTTTCTGGAATGTTTTCTTCTGCTGTAATAAACCAAATGAATTATCAAGAATGTACATCTCATGTTGTAATGTTATCACTTGTGGCATAAAGGTATGTGAATGGCCATGCCAAGAAGCATTATGAAGATGCCCAAGTGCCACTTGCCAACCACAAACAATATGAAAAGGTAGAGAAGGAAAAAACCCAGCACACTGTTTGTATGGACTGCAGTAGCTACAGTACATTTTGGTAAGTCTGGTTAATTACTTTTTTTTTTTTTTCCTCCAATGTTGTTATATTTTTACTGTGGGATCGCACATTAAGTTCATTAAGAATCTCTTGCTTGTAGTTACCGTTGTGACGACTTTGTAGTGAATGACACAAAGATGAGTTCCGTCCAGAAAGTTCGAGAGCATTTACAGAACCTAGAAAAGTAAGTAACCTTTTTCTTTTGTTGTGATATTTTCATTAGAGGCCTGTATTGTTGAACGTTGTTACTCTTTCTGGCCCGGCTGTCTTGTATTTTACTATAGTCTAATAAACTGATTCAGTTTACGGCCACAAGCATACTATTCAGTTTAGAGGTGTCATAAAGGTCTGTTTAAATGTTTTAATTGTAGACAGACCTGTCATTTCTTACTAATTTGCTTTTGAACAGCTCTGCATTCACAGCAGATAGGCACAGAAAGAGGAAATTCTTGGAAAACTCTCCACACAAGAAAATACTTAAATTAAATGTAAGTAACCGTTTCCTACATATTTTAAATTGTGCAATGTGATGTACTGCAGCAGATGTTCAACTGTTCTAAATCGGATCTAATTGTAAAAGCAAAAATTATATATTTTAACCATTAGCCGCCCGGCCAATGGCCGTTTTGGCGGCTTCAGATGTGCTCCTCCATTCCGGGTGCACGCCATTTGGCGTGCTCCCGCACATGCGCCGTTTGCGCTAGTGCAGAGCGGCGCAGCAGTGCAATCTGTCGGCGGCCGTGCACCTCGGACACGGCCGATGACAGATCCGAGTACCGGCTCCCGTTGCTGGTACCATGTGACCTGCTGTGACCAATCACAGCAGGTCACATGACAGTTGTATACATGGATGGCTTCATTCATGATGCCATCCATTGTATACTAGTGCCTAGCTGTGAATGGTCACAGCTAATCACATGCACATGTCATGTGATTAGCTGTGACCAAATCACAGCTAAGCACAAAAAAAAAAAAAGCTGAATGAATCGATTTCATTCAGGTAAATGCTTGCTTATAGCAAAGTAATTCTTTGCTATAAGCAAATTGTGTAAAAAAAAAAATACTGATCACTTCCCCAAAGTAGTACAATGTTACTATGGTAACATTGTACTATTTTGGTCATAGTAAAATATGAAAAAAAAAATCTTAAAAAAAATGTAATAAAAATTAAATATAATAAAAAAAAAAAAAAAATATATATATATATATATATTTTTTTTTTTTTTTTTCATACTGTCACCAGTCAGTGTCCCTGTTCACCGCCATGCCAGTTATATGATGACGCTGTACTGCACTGGTGACAGTATGTAAAAAAAAAAAAAATAGTGAAAATAATTTTTTTCATTTTTTCATTTTCGGAAAAATTATGACAAAAAAATACAACTTCAAAAAACTCGCCATGCCTCTTATGAAGTACGTCGGACTGTCTACTCTGCAAAAAGGGGTCATTTGGGGATATCTGTACTATTCTGACATTCTTGGACCTCAAGAAATTAGATTGGCCGTCAGTACTTCAGGATTGATCAATATTCAGATCTATACCATAGTTTGTGAACTCTAACTTTCCTACAAACTAAAAAATACATCCTAATTTGGGTTATTTTCACCAAAGACATGTAGCAGAATACATCTCGGCCTAAATTTATGAAGAACAATTATTTATTTGTAAACTTTTATAACAGAAACAAAGAAAAATGTGTTTTTTTTTTTCAAAATTTTTGGTCTTTTTTTGTTAATTTAGCAAAAAATAAAAACCCCAGCGGTGATTAAATACCACCAAAAGAAAGCTCTAGTTGTGTGAAGAAAATGATAAAATTTTAGTTTGGGTACAGTGTTGTATGACCGCGCAATTGTCATTCAAAGTGTGAGAGCGCCGAAACCTGAAAAATGGCCTGGGCAGGAAGGTGTAAAATTGCCCGGTATTGAAACGGTTAAAGCTTACCAGTTCTTAGACTTATGTGGTGGCTGCATTAGTTTTCTTTTTTCAGAATGTTTTTTAGCAAGTATAGAAAATATCTCTTGATCTTGCCAGAAATGCAGCGTCTTTGCCCCTTCCTGAGAGCTAAAAAGAAAGCACAAAGAAGCTTCTTTTGCTTGTGTAAACTTTTAGTCCCTTCAATATACCATGTAATGGAAATGAACAAAGACAGACATGTTTGAAGACAATCTTGTGTGACAACTATACTTGCCCTGCAAATACGGTGATGAAAATATTGTAGACACGAATGCAGGGATCAACAAATCCCTTGCACCAGGTTATTAAGGCGACTAAAAATTACGTCCTGGCACCTGGGATTTTATCAGTTCCTACTGCGAGCTCACACAGGGGATGCTTTCTAGGCAGAGGTGAGTGTGCGCTGCTGTAGGAGGAGAGGGGTGGAGTCAAAGGAGGCGGGGCACTGCGGTATTGACGTAATCTGCTCACGGAGGATTTCTAATTATGAGAGATGTACATGTATTATGTAGCCTGTTTTTTATGCTACTTTTATCTTTAATGTTTTGTTTCAATAAAATACTTGATATTTTTTATATTCACGCTTACACAATCTATTGCCTCTAATAGTCCCATTCTTCGAAGAAGATGTTTTTTCTATTATGTATTGTGGGGATGACGGCAGTCCTGTAGCACTTTACCATATCTTTTGCTTTGTGCAATGCTTGTAGCCAGCTGCAGGTGCTTTACAATTCCAGGGCTGTGGTCCGTCTCGTTGGAACTCAGATCCTGAAGACCCCTTCAGGGGTATGCCCACCATGATGAGAAGTCTTGACTATATATAGGGCCCAGTGTTGTAGACAGGGTCATCGTGTAGCTCTGACCAATACTGTATAAACCAGTGTTATGTTTGGAATTACACTTGCAGTGTAAACCTTTCAAACTTGGCACTAAAACTCAAACAGACAGATCTTAGTCTTTGGTGGATGACCAGGTGTCACTTCACACCACTGGTCTCGCACTTTACTGCCACTTCCACTTCCTAGACCTGTATATTGTAATCAGGCAACCCACTGCATCTTGCCAGCAACTAACATGCATTGGTAAGCTGGCAAAATATTGAAAATTTGAATGGACCACCTAGGTACAACATGTTAACACACAGCACAATGTGCATTAACATACATGCAGTAATGCAGTTCACAGTCGTGTGAACGGGCCCTAAGTACATTCACAAATGAGAATTAGCCAGAAAATACATAAACATGTACAGCGGGGCAAAAAAGTATTTAGTCAGCCACCAATTGTGCAAGTTCTCCCACTTAAAAAGATGAGAGAGGCCTGTAATTGGCATAATAGGTAGACCTCAACTATGAGAGACAAAATGAGAAAAAAAATCCAGACAATCACATTGGCTGATTTGGAAAGAATGTATTTGCAAATTATGGTGGAAAATAAGTATTTGGTCCATATCAAAAGTTCATCTCAATACTTTGTTATATATCCTTTGTTGGCAATGACAGAGGTCAAACGTTTCCTGTAAGTCTTCACAAGGTTGGCACACACTGTTGCTGGTATGTTGGCCCATTCCTCCGTGCAGATCTCCTCTAGAGCAGTGATGTTTTGGGGCTGTTGCTGGGCAACACAGACTTTCAACTCCCTCCAAAGGTTTTCTATGGGGTTGAGAGCTGGAGACTGGCTAGGCCACTCCAGGACCTTGAAATGCTTCTTATGAAGCCACTCCTTCGTTGCCCGGGTGGTATGTTTGGGATCATTGTCATGTTGGAAGCCCCAGCCACATTTCATCTTCAATGCCCATGCTGATGGAAGGAGGTTTGCACTCAAAATCTCACAATACATGGCCCCATTCATTCTGTCCTGTACATGGATCAGTCGTCCTGGTCCCTTTGCGGAGAAACAGCCCCAAAGCATGATGTTACCACCCCCATACTTCACAGTAGGTATGGTGTTCTTTGGATGCAACTCGGCATTCTCTCTCTCCTCCAAACACGACGAGTTGTGTTTCTACCAAACAGTTCTATTTTGGTTTCATCTGACCATATGACATTCTCCCAATCCTCTTCTGGATCATCCAAATGCTCTCTAGCAAACTTCAGACGGGCCCGGACATGTACTGGCTTAAGCAGGGGGACACGTCTGGCACTGCAGGATCTGAGTCCCTGGCGGCATAGTGTGTTACTGATGGTAGCCTTTGTTACGTTGGTCCCAGCTCTCTGCAGGTCATTCACTAGGTCCCCCCCTGTGTGGTCCTGGGATTTTTGCTCACCGTTCTTGTGATCATTTTGACTCCACGGGGTGAGATCTTGCGTGGAGCCCCAGATCGAGGGAGATTATCAGTGGTCTTGTATGTCTTCCATTTTCTAATTATTGCTCCCACAGTTGATTTGTTCACACCAAGCTGCTTGCCTATTGCAGATTCAGTCTTCCCAGCCTGGTGCAGGTCTACAATTTTGTTTCTGGTGTCCTTCGACAGCACTTTGGTTTTCACCATAGTGGAGTTTGGAGTGTGACTGTTTGAGGTTGTGGACAGGTGTCTTTTATACTGATAACAAGTTCAAACAGGTGCCATTGATACAGGTAATGAGTGCAGGACAGAAGAGCCTCTTAAAGAAGAAGGTACAGGTCTGTGAGAGCCAGAAATCTTGCTTGTTTATAGGTGACCAAATACTTATTTTCCACCATAATTTGCAAATAAATTCTTTCCAAATCAGCCAATGTGATTGTCTGGATTGTTTTTCTCATTTTGTCTCTCATAGTTGAGGTCTACCTATGATGCCAATTACAGGCCTCTCTCATCTTTTTAAGTGGGAGAACTTGCACAATTGGTGGATGACTAAATACTTTTTTGCCCCACTGTAAATGCCACACAAGTACTGTTATTTCATCTTTTGAAAGAATCCTCAAAACCACCAAAGAAGAACTTTGCCAGAGCTTTGCCCATCAGAATGGTTCAACATTCAGCAGTAACCTTGAAACATCACTTTTAGGAATCCAGTGTACAACATTCATTGGCTACTAGTATATAACCAAGGTTAAATTCAGAAAATTGGAATTCTAGGCAGATAGCAAAGGCTCCCAGTCTCTCCAGAATTAATCTAAACCCAAACACAAAAATGTATTAGAAATGGTGACTGTATAGTTTTATTTCAGGATTTTTTCCTCTGTATACTCATCTGGGAAGAACACACTTTCTGTCCATTAGTGCAAGGCTTGCCAAATTTGCACTTAATCTAAGAGCCAGTAGTGTGGCTGTCAGCATCCAGGGCAAGGCAAGTAATTTGCCCCCCCCCCCCAACTTACAGTAGAGCGGCCAGCCAATAACCTAAATGTAACATCAGGGTTATAGGCTCTCCGGAAATAATAACAATAAAAACCTGTTGTGGGGGAAACGCCCCATTATGCTGATTGCCCTATCACCAATTTTCCCAGATCACCATACCCCCCCCCATTTTGAGCTTTTTATTCTTAAATCCCATTTTGAAAAGTGTGGAAATTGTCTTTTAAGGCTTTTAATGCAAAGTAAAAGAATGCCTGTCTCTTGAACAGCACTACTGCATATGATAAATCTCTGAATGTACTTGTCTATGGTGACAGTGTGTCTACAGGCGTGTATTTTTCAGAATTGCTCTTGCTAATATTGTGAACCAGTGATAGGTCAATTCCCCCCACCCCCCAGTACTGTCCTCAGTCCCACTATTACTGTCCTGAGCTCCCCCTTAACTCTCCTGATTCCCCCCCTTTAACTGTTCTGAGCTCCCTCCTCCCAATCCAACACACCTATGCCTCCAAACCAGGGGCGGACTGACAACTCATGGGGCCGCCGGGCAATAAGGGATCATGGGGCCCCTGTGTCCTTGCCCACAACCGAAAAAAAGCCAATGAAAGGTATCAGGGGCATCTCATGGGGCCCCCTACTGACCCCGGGCCCCTCGGGCAGTGCCCGAGTGCTCGAATGGTTGGTCCACCCCTGCTCCAAACCCTGGCACTGAACTATATTAAACCTTGAGCTAGGTTTTTTTTTTTTGTTTTTTTTTTTTTAATGTTTTATCTTTTTTTTTTTCCTTTTTTTTTTTTTTTTTTGTTTTTTTTTTTTGCGAAGTGTTTTTTTTTTTTTTTTCTTTTCTTCTCTCTCTCTCTCTGCAAGGAGAGAGAGAGAGATACAATGTATGTCTCTCCTCCATTCAAAGAGGAAAGAAAAAACAAGGGGATGGGCTTCACAGTGACTGATCAATGTGATAGCCAATCAGTGTTAGAACGGGACCCAGGGCTCTCAGTGATGCGCTGGGAGCGCGACATGTGGCACGCGCCCAACACAAAGACAGGTAAAATATGGAAAAAGGTCCAGTTTTGCCCAATGTGCCTAAGATTGCAATAAAAAACACAGCAGAAGTTCTAACTTTCTTCACTTCGATAGTGTGAACAATACTTTTTATCAACTTTTTTGTATTTCGCCTATCTCCCAAGGGAAGTACCACGATGCTCTGTGCTACTGGTCTGCGGAATCTTGGAAATACCTGTTTCATGAATGCAATCCTGCAGTCATTAAGGTATGCAAGTACGTTGTAATAATATCCTGCTTTCTTTTTGACACGGGCATAATTTACCTTGGTAGATGTACCAGTAATATATATATTTTTTTTAATCTTGCAGTAACATTCAACAATTTTGCTGTTACTTCAAGGAGCTACCAGCAGTGGAACTTCGCAATGGAAAAACTGCTGGTCGACGGATGTACCATACACGGAGTCAGGGAGAAGTTAATGTGTGAGCCTTTCTTTTTACATCAATCTGCTCGTGGATGGACATATCTCATTTATCTAATATTGAAGTTTTAGAAATCTGCTTTATATCCAATATTTCCAGAGCTATGTGTTACAAAATGTTAGAATGACACATTCAGTGCTGAGCTCCAGCAAACACTAAAGCATTGAGCCTTGTCCTTTAATTCCCCCCACCCTGCCTTGTTGTAATGTCACTAGCTTCCATGTGCTGGGAAGTCATTCTTGGGGTTTTATTTTTTTTTTTAGTCAAAATATTATGTTGACAGTGATACTGGTGGATATGTTTTATTGAGAGCATGTAGTACCTTGAAAAGCCTCTTCTATTGTCTCACATTTAATTTCACATATGCCATCCCTGCTGAGGGTGTATTCTGATGGATAATATTCACGTTTGTTTTTGTAGGTCATTGGTTGAAGAGTTCCGGAAAACTCTGTGTGCATTGTGGCAGGGAAATCAAACTGCATTTAGTCCAGATTCCTTATTCTATGTGGTATGGAAAATCATGCCAAACTTCAGGTAACTACTTTGTTGTTAAAGGGATAAAAAATTTTTGAAATAGCTGAACCTTTGAGTCTTCTGCTCCACTACAACATAACAAAGCTTGAATTTCTGTTTTTCATCCAGACATTATAAGGTATCTTACCTTAATGTGGATAATACATTAATGTAAATAGCCTTTAGATCCATTTTAATGAGTTTGATTCCTTAATACAATATGTAGAGATTTTGCGTTTAAAAGCGTTTTTTAACTGTTCCATATCCAGATGCTGTCCAGAGCTTTTTTTCATCATCAGAAATGCATGAAAAGTGTTTTCCATGTATTCAAATGGACCCGATACACCAGTGCAGTCCGTTCCAGATTTTGCGTGAAGGAAAAAAATGGTAGAACGCGCCGCATTATGCTCATGATGGTGAATACAACCAGAAAAGACAGGTCATCTGAACACATACTGCTCTCTCTGCTTCTGCTCTCTCCATTTCTCTCAAAATGTCTGAAATAGTTTTTTTTACTGTTTTTCAGTGCATTCTGGGCATTATGGAAGACCTCCTGAGATTATCTTAAAAAAACGCTTCTAAATGCAAACGCACATAAACGCGGTATGCAAACGTGGCTAAACAGACGTTTTTTTAACCTACGTTTTCCAGCAGTCAGTTTCCATCGTTCAGAAGAGTTTTCCAAACATCCTGTGTACATGAGTCCTTATCTGGCCAAATAGAAGCTATGGCCAATACAATAGCAGAGCAGTAAATCAACCAGCGAATGCTCTGCAACAATCGTGTATATTGGTTTTAGTGCTGATGTTTAATTTAGACAATATAAGCTTTATTTGCACAATGGCTACTTTTGATTTTAAGGAAATATGTAGATGTACACATTTATTGCATTATGTCTTTTCAAATTTGGTCCCTGTGTTTTGTGGGTTTTTTTTTTTTGGTTTTGTTTTTTTTTTTTAACATACATTCTCATGACATTGATCACTGCTGTTTGCAGGGGTTATCAGCAGCAAGATGCTCATGAGTTCATGCGCTATTTATTGGACCACTTACACCTAGAACTTCAAGGGGAACTAAATGGCTCCAGTCATTCAGTCATATCACAGGAGAACACAAGCCGGCCTTCAAGCAGCAAGTGTTGTATGTGAGTGATGCAACAGTGTAACAAACCCACTCTTTATTTTCCTTGGTTTATAAACAAAGATAAGATGATAGGGCTCCATTCACTCTTGTGCGACTTGTCATGCGACTCTGGACACATACAGTCGCGTGGCAAGTCACAGCTTACTGTTTTCAATGGCACCCGTTCAGATTGGTGTGACTTTGAAAAGGTGCCTGCACTATTTTGATGTGACTTCGTGCCAGAGAGTCAAAAGTCACGCTCCAAAGTCGCCCGATTTCTAGTTGCGTAAGTATGAATGGAGCTTAAATGTGTAAAATATTGGGGAAAAAAAAGTTAAATAATTTTGTATTTAGTCGGAGAAGGCTTTGGCTGTCATTGAGGCTTGATACACAAAAAATCTTCAGCCCTTCAGCAACCTACAAAAATGACTGATCCTTTCACTTTAAAATATAAGCTTTCCTTTATGATTGTATTAGGGACAGCCGCAACTGTTTTTGTGTGTGGGTGTCAGAAGCAGTAATATAATTAGATGGCATAAATCTTACATTTTTTAGTTTTTTAAGACGGAGCTAAAATTTTATTTTACATAATGCCTAAGGTTAAGTCTACCCAAGTTGCTAATTTTTGTTTCCGGTGAATTCCGTGGACAGATTATGAACACATGAAACAAATTTTCTTTCTTGCATTACCCACAATGTAAATAAGTAGCATTTTTTTGATGCCTGTACAACTGCCTCAGTTTTTTAGTATATTGTTGCAAGCAGGGGTGGACTGATCATTTGAGCACTCGGCACTGCCCGAGGGCCCGGGTCAGTAGGGAGCCCCATGAGATGCCCCTGGTACCTTTTCATAGGCTTTTTTGGGTGTGTGGTTTGAGTGTGAGCAAGGACACAGGGGCCCCATGATCTCTTATTGCCCAGGGCCCCATGAGTTGTCAGTCCGCCCCTGGTTGCAAGCACATTCTTCTTCTAACTAAAACCGATAGATCTGCTTAATGGTCATCTCACATTGGAATGTGTGCATTCCCGTGTGGTCCCCGCGCGTTCTGGTTTTTGACAACCTATTTATTTCAGTGGGCTGCCAAATGTACCAGAATGTGCAAAGAATAGAGCAGCACTACTTTTTTAGATCGCACCACACCAAACCATATGGTACTGTAGTACCATGTGTTTTGGTGGCTGCAAATGCGCTTTGCTTGCGAGATGTATTTAAGGTGCCATTTAACAATTATTTGGCATCTGCACACATCTTGCAAGGGCAATGTGTTCACTAGCAGTGTGGGAAATGTGCACTGAACATGCCTTTCCTGCACTGCGAACAGACCCTCAAGGTCTTACGTATATTGTTTTATTTAATGGAACAAAGGATTTGAGTGTTAATCTAATCTACGGTCGTTTTTCAAATGTTGCCACATTTATGGAGAGATTTAAAATATTTCTCATTGGAGATGTGTGAAAGTGTTTGGCTTTATTGTTAATTGAAGCCAGTTTTATGTTACAGAAATGGAGCAACAACAGTGGTGACCTCAGTGTTTGGTGGAGTTCTGCAGAACGAAGTAAACTGCCTAATTTGTGGAACAGAATCCCGAAAGTTTGACCCATTTTTAGGTCTGTCTCCTTAATATATTGTGCCGAGTACAATTTTACATATCCATTAATTCATGCTCTTGCAGCTGCAATCCTGAGAGCTCTTTTGTCATGTTAAGAGCTGTGTGCAGCTACAAAGATTAGCATTCAACAGTCCCAAGGGTAGCCATCACACTTTGTTTGAGGTAAATGCCCAGGTGCTCGCCCACAAAGAACTCCATACAAATCCAAAACGGGTATAGAGGCACTCATGGGTTTCGCAGAGGAGATAGATTAATGCAGCAGAGTTTTTTCATGTCAATGCTTCAATGAGCTTTATCGAAATGTTGACATTAAAAACGCTGCTGTTTTGATCTATCTCCTCTGCAAGACCCATGAACACCTCTATACCGGTTTTGGATGTCTAAAGATTAGCACTCAAAGTATGTACTGTACATAGTGATGAATGTGTGTTTAAAAATCCAGCACTCGATACTAGTACATCAAAGCTGGTACTTTTCTTAGCTGTGTTCAAACACATGAGTGCACAAAAAGGGCTGCTGATGCATTCGTAGGACTTTGCAATTATCAGAAATGCACTTGTTTCAAATAAGCCGTAAGTGCCACAGTTTACATGCCATTAGTACTTTGTTACCTTCATTTATGATCATTAACCCCTTCACGCCTAAGGGTAAAACAAATCTAAATGCCTAAGCACAATTTTGCACCGTTGACATGTGTTAGTAAAACCGTACATATCATCACAACTACTTTGTACATCCAGGTGGATTATAGCGCGTTTTTTTTCAGGACAAATTGGGCTTTCATTTGGTGGTAAATGGTAATGGATATCTCCCTGATTTTTTTTTTTTTTTCATCAAAGGAAAACTGGCCCAAAAATAGTAAAAAAAAAAACATTTTTTTTATTTAGCTGTGTGTTTCTTGTTACTACCATATGTCACGGGTCGCACGATCGCACGACCGCGACGTCCAATACGTCACGATCACGGCGTCAGACCCCAGACCTTCTCACCAAACTCGTAACCGAAGGACTGGCCGATCTAAAACCGCAATGTGACGTACGTAACAATGCCACACCCAGCTGCACCCTGCACAGTGATTTTCCAGCTAATAGACAACCGATCGATGTGCTGTCAGCCTGAGTGATTGTTACTGGGTCAGGTTGATTACGCAACTAACCCTTTTCACACTGCCACCACCTCCTTTTTATCAAAGAGGAAACTCGGGGTTCAGCTAATACACTATAATGATTGAAATAATTGTCTGTATAAAATGGTCCGTAGGCCGGTTATACAGAGGTTAAAACAAACCGTAGCGTTCTCTTAAAAGGCAGGGATTCGTAAATTGCAATTGAGAGCTTATAGAAACAGTTCAACACTTTCAGAAGGAAAGATTTATTACTAAAAGGGTCACACAGGTGCAATAAATATTTACAGAAAAGATGTAACTAAGATAGATCGAGAGAGAGAGATATATAGATATATATAACAGCACCGCAAAGAGATAACAGGGAGAAGTTAAAGGGTTAAGTTGCTTGCATTTAAGCCTTGAACGGAAGCAGATCATGTTTCAGAGCGAAAGGTCTCCCCAGGTGGTATATTGATGTTAAGAATGGGAGAAGACTTTAACTTAACTTTTTAGGCCTGCTAGCCTGGTTTTTAAAGTCCCCCAGCAGGGGGTGGCTCTGAGTACCTGACCAATACTCTGTTTGTTTAGGGAGGGATTGGCAGGTGGAGCCCAAAATTAGAACCAGCATCTTTCCTAATTCATATTCTGGCCTATAACTTCCCAGCTGCACAAGTGACAATCTCTGCGGGTATTTTATTATGCAGATAAGTCTAAGGATCATGTAGATATGAATTATGAAATTGTACGTTACATGGTGTACGAGTTCTATGTTTTGGCTCCCCTGATGATCTGAGGTGGACGAGTGACCAATCAAAATGTTCGTCTGCGCATTGGCCATCTGGCGATGTGCCCGGTTTTTGTGTAAGTCTTCCATATTCCAAGATATGAGACATAGGGAAAAAATTGATTTGAGAAGTGTTCATCTAATTCTGTCACCTATGCTGCGCTAGGTTCATCAGGTCCGCATTTCTTTCAACTTCTGTGAAGGCTCCTTATCTGTTTAACGATTTTGTGAAACTACACAGGTTCTCCAGGCAGTGCGGCACCACGTGGCTCCCTGCTGGGATCTGGCCTGTGACACTTTTTAACACACACACACATCTGTCACTGTGCCTCTCAGGAAGGGAGGGGTAGGAGAGAAATGGATACCCTTAGCAAGATGGAGTCTGAAACCAAAATGGTTGAACCGCGTACATCTCGGATTTACGCGTTTGTGACAACATAACCTACCACCAAAGAACAATCCAAAATAAATTATCCAGTTCTTGACGATCACAGCGATACCATATATGTGTATGTTATTTGTTGTTTGTACCCGTAGTACAGCCCAGAAACAATAGTGTACATTTTGTTGTCTTTTTTTTTTTTTTTTTTTTTTTTTTTTACCTAAAACACACTGACGCCATTTTTTTAAATCCTGACCTTTGACCCTGCCCTTTTGACCTTGACCCAAACACCCTAGCACTGAACTAGATCAAACCTTGATCTAGGTATTTTTTTCTTCATTTTTTAATATTTATCTTTTTTTTTTTTTTTTTTCTTTTTTTTTATACAAACATTTTTTTTTCTCTCTATGCCAGGAGTTAAAGAGATACAATGTATCTCTCTTCTCCATTGATAGAGAGAGGAAAAAAAAACAAGGGTGCTGGGCTGCACAGTGACTGATCACTGTGATAGCCAATCAGAGGCTATCACAGTGATCATGTGACCCAGAATCGGGAGTCCTGGGTCCTGATCGTTAGAACGGGACCCGGGCTCTCAGTGACACTGCGGTCTTTGTGCTGGGAGCGTGCAGTACGGCGCGCGCTCCCAGCACAAAGACAGGTAGTCAAATATGCAGCCCCACAAAAAAAAAAGCCCAGTTCCGTGAGGCCACATATTTGTGTGATGTCGACATCAAGGGGTTAAGTTTGATTTATTGGAAGTCTAGGCAAATAATTTACAGTAAAACATTTGTGTAAAAGATAAAGATTGGGTGTATCATATATGTAATATTACTGCACTATGCATTTTTTTAGATCAAATATATGTGCCCTGTTGTCATAATGAATCCTTGGAGACAGTCAATGCTGTTTATTCTATCTGAAGTTAGTTGGACCACTCCTTATGCAGTAATGTGATTAATGATAATTCACTTGCTCACCCAACGAAAATCTTTCGTTTAATAACATTTTATCTACAAATTAATCATCAGAATGAAAGTATTACTATCTGGTAAACACCTGAAAAATTTTGGAATAGAATTTTGGGAAGGGAGGTGCTTTATCCTGATCTTGATTTTTCTTTTCTACAGATCTCTCTTTAGATATTCCCAGTCAATTCCGCAATAAACGTAGTAAGAACCAAGAAAATGGACCAACCTGCACGCTCAGAGGTATGACTGTAAACATTTCGATTCCGTGTGTGAATGTTATACAGACTAAAGCTTAAAGTAGTTTTTATACCCCTTGTGGATTTTTGGTTCAACACAACCTTTTGTAAAGTTCTTACCCCAGCACTTGCAGTTTACAACTGCTGCTGCTGGTTCCTGATCTTTGTGCTACTTCCCTGAACTTCCTATCTTTTACAGGTAAGCATTTATAGTGGACAGTGGCATCTCTAGTCAGATTGTTAGCTCCTGAAATAGAGGGAAGGAGGAGGGAGGAGCAGGGAAGTGCCCTGCAATGCATATCTACAGGACTGTGTGTTTCTAGTGATGCACGCAGTGTAGGGAGACACAGCTCTAGTCCCTGCATACAAGGGAGGCTCAGTAGGATGCTGCAAGAGAAAGGAGCCACCCTGGAAAAGAAAACCTAGGGTAGCAATCATGGCACCAGCTTCAACAGGAACACAGGCAAGGATTAAAAGATAAGAAGCTGCATACTCAGTAAGTGAATAAATCAACTCATGAAAGTGCTTAAAAACTGAGTGTTGAATATGACTTTTAATGATGAACTTGTCCATTCTTGGCAGTTTTCAATTGCAGTTCATGTAACCAAGCAGGTTTTCAATTGTTGCTAACATGAATTTTGAGTTGTTCTTAAAACCTATGGAAATGTGGCAATTGATAAATGGCTCCCTCTCGCAGGATTCCACTCCATGCTTCTTACTTTATATTGTGTTTTTAATTAGTAGGGAGAGTTCATTATTATTATTAATAATAGTCATTATCATTATTTATATATATATATTTGGGGTTTTTTTTTTCTCAACGGCTTTCTATTGGTAAGCGAAAGTACAGCAAAAGACTAGACAAAATATATGATTGATAGAGGTAGTATAGGACTGTTTTAATGCTGTTTAAAAGAATAAATACCTTGATGTGTTGTCGGAAAACACCTGGGTTAACCTCTTGTATTAAGGTACTGTTTTGTCCTGTGATTTTTCTTAACTGAAAATTACAGAATGCCTTCATCATACTCTGCAAGGGACAAATTAAAAAACTAATTTCCTCATTGGCTCCAGAACTGAATTGTGGAATGTTTTAGAGTGATGCAGTGTCTCCCATTTGGGGCAGCGCGTGAATAAAAGTGGGGTCCCTTTCTGTCTTGTAGAAGTGTTTTTAGTAAGTTGGCATTAGGTGAACAGGTGGCTATGAAGCTGGATGAACTTGTCTTTTAATTACAGACTGCCTGCGCAGTTTCACAGACCTGGAGGAGCTAGACGAGACAGAGCTCTACATGTGCCTGAAATGCAAAAAGAAACAGAAATCCACCAAAAAATTTTGGATCCAGAAACTACCAAAGGTTTGTTTCAAGCAGTAGAGTCCTTGTTATTTGTTGCCCTTCTCTGTGTTGTTCAAATGATTTTGAATTTAGACAGTGAAAGGTAAAGTAATATAAACCAAAGCTAAAATTTGGTGTAACCTCTAAGTCGCCCCCTGAAAAATAATAGTTTTCAGTTTCTACAAGCTCCAGACAAGAAGCCGTTTTTTGGTATTCTTTTGAAGCGGTATTAAACCCAAAACCAAATATGTAATCTATTGCAGCTTACCAATTGTTACATGTGGCTGCATTAGTTTTCTTTTTTTTTTTTTCCCCCTCTGTTTTCACCTGGAGATCAGGCCAGTAACACGCCTTCTGTATTAGAGTGCTCCCACTCTAGATAAAGGAGCACAGGGGGCACATTTGGACAGCAGTATTGTCAGTCTGGGGGGGAGGGGAGTGTTTAGATGTACTAGCAAATTTAAAAACCTTAACAAATTTTAGCTGAACTCCAGCTACTACTTTATAATTATAAAACAAAAAAAGGTAGCGCTATTAAATTAAATGTCCAAATCAAACTGATAAAACAGTGAAAAAATAAATGACCAACAAAATGTCTCTAAGAATTTTTCCTCTTTCCATCAACCGTGAAAAATGTCCATCACCATAAGAACAGATTTGTGCAAATCCACCACCAACAGAAATGAATAAACTCACCAGAGCAAATTGCCAGTTAAATTATAAACCAGCAATTGCACTTGTTTGCTCTGGGAGCAATACTCTGCAGGTAGACTCAGCGGTGACCAGCTTTTCAAATTATTCCTCTCTCAGCTTGTTGATCTGTAGTATATTGCAAATCAGCGAGACTCCGATATACAGACACTTATTTATCCTCTCTGGGAGCAATACTTTGCAGATCTATAAACTCAGCAGCGAAAACTTCCAGACCGAATTTCAAGAGCGTCATACACAGGCTCAGAAAAGAACGATCGTGTGATATCGTACGACACCTTTTTTTTATAAATACTCATCATAATCCACTCACTAGGAACAGTGTCATAGCCAACACTAGCAACAAACAAATTTTGTTTAAAATTAGTAAAATGGGGAAGTGTTACTGAAATTCTTGATTCTGTAACATATGTATAATATATACTTCTGTGCTATGACAAATATAAGGACAAATGCACAGCACAGTTTTTTGTGAATCTGTCTCAATAATAATAATAATAATAATAATAATAAGTTTACTGTGTAGAAACATATTTTATCCATCATACAGACCTCCATTTTTGTGACATTTACCTTGTGCATTTGGTTTCCAACATGTAGAATATATTCTGTTTGGTAATACATGGAACTGAATAGATCCAGCCACTTTCCTGTTCACTGAGGGACATAGAAATGTTTAAACCTTTTCGATTATACTGCTAACTACACAGGGAAACAGACTGTCAGCCTAGGATAACCCCTCCTACCACCAGCATGCCTCAGTTTTTTGCTGACATTGGTCACAGAGACCACAAGCGAGCTCCAGTGCCATCTCCAGCATATTCTATATCTGATTTGCCCGCGGCCTTAGTGGTGTCTTAGCCATTGGCCGCAGATATTCTGCCACTACAGTCCTTGACTGATGAGCTTACCCCTAAGCAATCACATTCTACTGCTATTACTCCAAAACTTATGGAGACCTTTTTGGCTACTATTGATGCATAGTGCACCACTTTAAAACAAGAGGATCAGCCTCTTGCTTCTGCCAGTGCTATTTCTGTACAGATTTTATACAGAAATGGTCTATTCCCTCTGCGGATGTGGCAGTGTCTGGTCTTAACAAAGCACTTACTGTTCCAGTTAAGGACACATCTGTTCTTAAGCACCCAACCTATAAGTGGTCGAAAGCCCTTTCTTTTCTTGGTGGAGGGTTCTGCCCTTTATCTGATCCTGGCAGTGACCTTAGTTTATCAAACCATTTCTGACTGGTCAGGATCCCTTTAAAAAAGAATTAACCTTTGCTGCGGTTTATCCTTTGTTTATTGAACATGTGTAGCAGATGGCTGTAGTGTTAAACCTCAGCTGTAATTTGTCTGATGGATGCCTCCTGTCTTGTCTCAGGCATGTGTCTCATGTCGGTACACATGCGCAGGACCCTTTGGTTGAAGTAGTGATCTACTGAATTCTTGTCTATAAAAGTAATTAAGCTGCATGGCCTTCAAGGGGCAGCATCTTTTCTGGCAGGTTCTTGACAATATCATCAAGGATGCTACTTGGTGGTGAGAGTATCAGTCGTCCAACATAAGAAGCTTAAGGCACAGACTGGAAAGTATTTTCCTTTTCTGAATGTTAGAAAACAGCCCTTTTAGTTTCTCCACCCAATCCACCTTATCATAGAGATCAAATAGCTTGTCTACCCACAAGGTGTGTCACTTAGTCCGCTAAATCCTCAGACAAGGCATCCTCTGCATGTAGGTGCACCACCCTTCTTTAAAGTGGGTGGACGTTTGTAAATGTTTGTGGACACCTTGGACAAATTGCATCTCTAATGCTTGGGTGAAGAAAGGTGCTATCCTAGGGCTCCGAAATGGAATACCAATCAATGCCAAATTCTTGCTTTCTCACCTGCAGCCTTCTTGCACCACTGAACAGATTAGCAGATCATCATTAAACCCTCTTAGGTCTTCGTTGACCTAGTTCTTGTGGCAGAACAGTTCCAGGGTTTTACTCCAATCTGTTCATCATTCCCATGCCCAAAAGGGGTTTTCACCCCATTCTGGATTTGAAAACTAAATATCCTCATTTGGGTCCACAAATTCCAAATGGAATCCATCAGATCTGTCATCCCCTCCCTTCCTGTGGAGACTTTCTGGCTTCTGTGGACATCAAAGGTGGTTATTTGCATGGCCCCATATTTATCACAGATTCCAATGATTTACTGTAGGGCATTTGCACTACTTGTTCATGGCCCTATCCGTTAGCCTCTCATCTGCACTTTGGGTATCCACCCAGGTGCTAACCCCAGTACTAGCCCTGCTGCTTTCTAATGGCATTCCCATGGTGCCATACTTAGATGACCTTCTGCTGAGGGAACAGTTTGTGCAGGCTCTGTTGAATAGCATGTCTAAATGGCCAGACATTACAGAGGTTCGGATCAGTCCTAAACCGTCCAGAAATTTTCATTGGAACCAGCTCCATTGTTTGGAGTATCTCTGCCTGGTCCTGAACACAGCTCAGGCAAAGAAATCCTTCCACAGGAGAAACGTTAGCGCTCCGGTCTCATGTCTGAACTCTTCAGTTTAGGAGCTGTGTCACTGCTTTTGCATGGTCCTAATAGCACCCTGCTTCAAGGCATTTGCCCTGTTTCACTCTAGCCTTTTGCACCACAACATTCTGTCGTTGGGGAATAGTTACATCTGGTCTCTAGATACACCAATTAGCTTGCCACTGAGGACCAGGTTGTCCCTGGTTTTGTGTCTCCGAAATCTGTCCTGGAGCTTTTGGCAGATTTGGCTGTCTTTACTCATTGAACCATCCTGCTAGTGGGACATTTAATCTGGTGATGGTGTTTGTCAATTATCAGGGAGGCACCTGAATTGTTCACCGAAAAGAGGTAGAATGGATCCTGTCCTGGGCAGAGTTCATGTTCCAGCCTTCGAAAAACAGACAATTGGCAGGGAGATTTCCTGTGCTGTCAGTGTATGGATCTGGGGGATTGGTGCTATCATCCAGAAGTATTCCAGGACCTATATCTCAAGTGGTGGATACCAGGTGTGTATGTCCCAGTTTCCAAAAACTAAGTTTTGTCTCTAGGTACAGGGATCCTTTAGTGGAAGCGATGGATGCTCTGTTGGATCAATATAAGCTTATGTATGCATTACCTCCCTTAAGACTTCTTCCTCATCTGATTCGCAGGATCAAGATGGAGGTTATTCTGGTGCTCCTCATTGCTCTGTACTGGCCCAGGCAATTGCTTAGTTACATAGTTAGTCTGGCTGAAAAAATACAAAAGTCCATCCAGTTCAACCATTAAAAAAAAAAAAAAAAAATATTATAATCCTATACCCACAGTTGATCCAGAGGAAGCCAACAAAAACCCAGCAAAGTATGATCCAATTTGCTCCTGCATGGGAAAAAATTCCTTCCTGATCCCCCGAGAGGCAATCGGATATTCCCTGGATCAACCTTACCTATAAATGTTAGCATCCAGTTATATTCTGTGTATCCAAGGAAGAATCCAGGTCTTTTTTTAAAGCAATCCACTGAGCTGGCCAGAACCAACTCTTGAGGGAGTCTATTCCACATTTTCACAGCTCTCACTGTGAAGAAACCTTTCCATGTTTGGAGATTACATTTCTTTTCCTCCAGACATAAAGAGTGCCCCCTTGTCCTCTGTGATGACCTCAGGGTGAATAGCTGTACACCGAGTTCACTATATGAACCACTGATGTATTTATACATGTTGATCATATCCCCCCTTAACCGTTTCAATACCGGGCAATTTTACACCTTCCTGCCCAGGCCAGTTTTCAGGTTTCAGTGCTCTCACACTTTGAATGACAATTGCGCGGTCATACAACATTGTACCCAAACTAAAATTTGATCATTTTCTTCACACAACTAGAGCTTTCTTTTGATGGTATTTAATCACCGCTGGGGTTTTTATTTTTTGCTAAATTAAACAAAAAAAAAACCAAAAAGTTTGAAAAAAAAAAACACATTTTTCTTTGTTTCTGTTATAAAAGTTTACAATTAAATAATTGTTCTTCATAAATTTAGGCCGAGATGTATTCTGCTACATGTCTTTGGTGAAAATAACCCAAATTAGGATGTATTTTTTAGTTTGTAGGAAAGTTATAGAGTTCACAAACTATGGTATAGATCTGAATATTGATCAATCCTGAAGTACTGACAGCCAATCTAATATCTTGAGGTCCAAGAATGTCAGAACAGTACAGATATCCCCCAAATGACCCCTTTTTGCAGAGTAGACAGTCCGGCGTACTTCATAAGAGGCATGGCGAGTTTTTTGAAGTTGTATTTTTTTTGTCATAATTTTTCGGAAAATGAAAAAATTAAAAAAATTATTTTCACTATTTTTTTTTTTACATACTGTCACCAGTGCAGTACAGCGTCATCATATAACTGGCATGGCGGTGAACAGCGACACTGACTGGTGACAGTATGAAAAAAAAAAATATATATTTTTTTTTTATTATTTTTATTTTTTTATTATTTAATTTTTTATTACTTTTTTTTATTTTTTTTAAGATTTTTTTTTCATATTTTGCTATGACCAAAATAGTACAATGTTACCATAGTAACACTGTACTACTTTGGGGAAGTGATCAGTATTTTTTTTTTTTTTTTTTTTTTTTTTTTACACAATTTGCTTATAGCAAAGAATTACTTTGCTATAAGCAAGCATTTACCTGAATGAAATCGATTCATTCAGCTTTTTTTTTTTTTTTTTTTTTTTTTGTGCTTAGCTGTGATTTGGTCACAGCTAATCACATGACATGTGCATGCGATTAGCTGTGACCATTCACAGCTAGGCACTAGTATACAATGGATGGCATCATGAATGAAGCCATCCATTGTATACAACTGTCATGTGACCTGCTGTGATTGGTCACAGCAGGTCACATGGTACCGGCAACGGGAGCCGGTACTCGGATCTGTCATCGGCCGTGTCCGAGGTGCACGGGCGGTGACAGATTGCACTGCTGCGTCGCTCTGCAACCGCGCAAACCGCGCATGTGCGGGAGCACGCCAAATGGCGTGCACCCGGAAAGCTGCAGCGCTTTTCAAGCCGCCAAACGGCCATTGGCCGGGCGGCTAATGGTTAATCTCCTCTTCTCAAGAGAAATAAATTCAGTTCCTCTAATCTTTCCTCATAGCTGAGCTCCTCCATGCCTCTTATCAGTTTGGTTGCCTTTCTCTGTACTTTCTCCAGTTCCACAATGTTCTTTTTGTGAATTGGTGCCCAAAACTGAACTGCATATTCCAGATGAGGAATTACTAATGATTTGTACAGGGATAATATGATATCCCTCTCTCTGGCAGTCTATACCTCTTTTAATACGAGAGGATTTTGCTCCCTTTAGAAACCGCAGCTTGGCATTGCATTCCATTATTAAGCTTGTGATCTACCAGAGCTCCCAGATCTTCTCCACCATTGATTCCCCCAGTTGTACTCCCAACCCCCCCCCCCCCAGTATGTATGATGCATGCATATTCTTAGCCCCCAAGTGCATAACCTTACATTTATCAACATTAAACCTCATTTGCCACATAGTTGCCCAATTAAACAGAGCATTGAGGTTGGCTTGTAAGTTGGAGACATTCTGTAAGGACGTTATTCCTCTGCACAGCTTGGTGTCATCTGCAAAGACTGAAATGGGATTTTGAATCCCAGACCCTATATCGTTTATAAATATATCAAAAATGAAGGGTCCCAACACTGAACCTTGGGGTACACCACTGACAACCCTAGACCATTCAGAGTATGAATCATTAACCACTACTCTGAATACGATCTTTTATCCAGTTTTCTAGCCATTTACATACGGATTTTTCCAAGCCTGTAGACTATACTTTACACATTAGCCGTGTGTGGGGAACTGTCAACCGCTTTTGCAAAATCCAAGTATACCATGTCCACTGCCACCCCTCTGTCCAAGGTTTTGCTCACCTCCTCATAAAAAGAAATCAGATTAGTTTGACAACTTCTGTTTTTCATGAATCCATGCTGTCTGTTGCCTAAAATATTTTTTTCCAGCAAAAACTCATCTATGTGGTCTTTTATTAAACTCTCCAATATCTACCAAGTAATTATAGACCTGTTAATTTGACTTCTATAGTTGGAAAAAGATTTTGACCCCCTTTTTAAATATTGGCACCACATTGGCCTTACACCAATCTAGTAGTACTATGCCAGTCATTAAAAAGTCCCTAAAAATTAGAAACAATGGCTTTGGAATGACAGCGCTCAATTCTTTAAGGACCCCTGGGTGTATGCCATCCGGTCCAGGTGCTTTATTCACCTTTTTATTGTCTAAATATTTTTGGATCATATCAATCGTGAGCCAATGTGGATCATCTGGAGCTGTGTCAATATGCCAACCAGGTAAAACTCCTGAAAGATGCCCCCTTGGGTTTGCCAGAATATCAGGATCTTCTGTCTCGAGGACTGATTTTCTATCTTGCTTTTTGGTTGCTGGCTTTAAACAGCATGTCTGCTGTAGCCCAGGTACTGAAGGACAAGAGAACCTCTGAGTATCATCAGATGTAGAGGGCATACTTCACTCGGTATGAGTGTCCTAGAAAAAGATATTACAAGGAGCACAAAATTCCTGTTATGTTTACTTGCATGTGTGTTTTATGAATGTAACTGTTTGTACGCTATCAGACCGAGCTGCATGTGTTTTGTTTTTAGGTTGCATGTGTTTCTTTTCCCCTTCAGCTGCTTCAAAGTAGACAGGTGATCATTCAGAGCAGCAGCTGGCATAAATGCAATAAATAGAAGAGGAGGGGGGAATGACAACTTAAAACGAAGGACCTTTTTATTATTCCTGTGAACAGGGAATAGGAAAATTCACAGCAATTGCTGTCATCTAGAGAAATGATATTCACATCATTTGCCTCTCTCTGTAGGTGCTATGCTTACACTTGAAAAGATTCCATTGGACAGCATACCTTAGAAACAAAGTGGACACATATGTAGAATTTCCTCTGCGAGGATTGGACATGAAGTGCTTCTTATTAGAGGTAAATTGTGTACATGTTTTACTTCAGCATGGCCACAGGCTAGTGGGAGACTTTCACTTATCAGGATTATTATATAACTTTTATCTATATATTTTTTAGTTTGTAAATATCCTTCGTAACTGCATTTACACATGTGTAAGACAGGCCATAGATGATGCGATTTTGATTCCTGGAACCAGGGGCCACACAGTCGATGATGGGGGAAGCCTTTCCACTGAGCTATTGTGTTCTCCCACTGGCGGGGGGGGGGGGGGGGGGGGGCAGAGCCATCCCTGCTGGAAGAACACAGTGGTTATTGCTAGTGGCAATCTTCCAAAGTGGAAGGAAAGAAAGTTGCTCGATTTCCTCACCAACACAGTGTTGAAGGGGGAATGCCCCCCGCAGTACTATTGTGTTCAGCCAGTGGGGGAGGGGGCAGAACATAAGTATTCTGTTTCAGTATTTTTTATTTGGAAAGGTTTGATTTTTAAGAACATATCGAGCTCAAAATACGCCCTCGCAGGGGCAGAGCAGAACAATAACATATAGACCGGAAAATACTGCTACCTTGTAATAGTCAAATAACAAAAAAGTCTGAAGACATCAAAAAGGGACAGCAAACAGCCGAGCCAAAGAGCAGCAGTAATCCAACATATTGGAAAAAAAGGGAAAAGAAATTAGAAGAAAAGAGAAAAGAAAACAAAAGGGAATCAGAAAGAAAACATGAAAGTAGGAGATAGGGATGGTAAGGAATAGCGTATCCAAGGTTCCCACACCTTAAGGAATGAGATGAGAATCATGAAGAATGCTAGACATCTGCTCATTGAACAACATAGCATTCATCTGCATCCTCACCCCTTGGAAGACTACCAAAGGGGTTCTCCAAGCTTGAGCTATAGTACGTTTAGCCAAAATGAATAGGTAGGAAGCCAATTTCTATTCAGACCTAGACAAACCCAAAATTGGGCAATGCAGGAGGGCCACCCTTACATCCCTACGGAGCGTAATATGAAATAGCGTTTGAAGCAAACCGAAAACCCTAGACCAGAAACCGATCAATCATGGGCACGACCACCAAATTTGCGAGACGTCCCCACGTAGACCACAGTTCCGGAAACACCTATCTCCGCCAGTCGGATTAAAGTGAGCAGTCCGAGCCGTGACCCAGTACCACCGAAGTAGAACTTTGTAGGCTGCCCCAAGAGTGACTATATTAAATGAACATTTCTCCACCGTATCCCAGGCCTTACGCCAATCCTCCACCACAATCTAAACACCCAGATCTTGCTTCCACTGAGAAACATAAGACAGGGGCGATGAGGAAGACCTACTGTTAAGGGAGGCATATATTACAGAAATAAGGCCAGGGGACCCTGGGGAATGCTGACAAATGTGTTCAAAGGGCTTTTTGCGGTAAGGATATGTAGAGGTACGACGGAGGGAGAGGACCCAGTGGCGCAATTGCAAATACCGATATTTCCGCGGTGGGACCCCCCTGGATTCTCGAAGAGACTCCCAAGATGGAAGCGTACGAGTGCTCAGAAAATCGTATACAATAAGCCATGGGAGGTCCACCAAGAGAAAGAAGAGGGATGTTCTAGGCCTGGCAAAAATAAAGGATTATGAGTGATCAGCAAAAGGGGTAGGAATGACGAAATTAAATTCCCTGAATATTTAAGAGAGTCCCAGATTCTCAAACTGTGAAGCATAATAGGGCTCAAATCCAGAGGGCGCAACTTAGGCGGGAGCCAAAGAAATGTAGTTAAGAAAAGCGGAGAAAAGTTGGGTAGTTCCAAGAGTATCCACAATGGAATATCAGTCGTGGCATGAAGCATAGACAACTGGGAAATCTGAGCGGCCAAATAGTATCTAGAAACGTGTGGAACTCCCAAGAACATAAGTATTCAAATATAAAAAATCCGATAGACTGGTTGTCTATCAGCCTGCCTACACATGGATCAAATCTTGACCTGTCCCTGCTGAACCGGCCAAATCCGGGCAAACTGTCTCGATCCATGTATAACCGGCTAAACTCCGAATAAGCATGCAGCCAGTGAATTCACACGCATGCAGCCAGAGATCTTATGATCTGCATACCGTTCAATTGTACAGTGAATTAAAGTTTTGCAGTAAACGAATCAACATGAAAGTCAGGCAACTGTTTTTTTTTTCAATAGGGGAGGTCCAAAGTGGCAGTGACAGCTTACGTATTTCTCTCAGCCCACTGACTTTTCATTAGATTTGCATTTGCAAGTTGTGTGACATCTGGCACTAGACATTTGCTATATCAAATCTTTTATTTTAAGCAAGTAAAATTAAAAGAAGCTGTTTTATAACTGCATGCTTACCAACAAAGCAATGTCCACCATAGACTCACAAGTAACTGACTATTACCCCATTATGTTATGTCTGTGGGTAACCTCTTTGTTTCATCATCTGTGTTTTCTTAAAGCAATTATTTGACATTGATCCAGTAGCGTTATTGTGTACCATTCTGTCAAATGATTTGCTAAGTTTATCACTTCTTAATATGTGAAGTATTTTTGTTTTACTTTTTCTTGCAACAGCCAGAAAATATGGGCCCAGAAAGTTGTCTTTATGATCTAGCAGCTGTAGTTGTCCATCATGGCTCAGGGTAAGTTGAGAATTTTGTCTTCCTATCGTAGAGGTGATATTGTATATGTAGCAGCCATTGTTGAAGAGCAAGTAGCATGTATGAGTAACATAATCATTTCTTCTCTTTTTTTTTTTTTTTTTCTCTTGGGCAGGGTTGGCTCTGGTCACTACACAGCATATGCCACCCATGAGGGTCGCTGGTACCACTTCAATGACAGTACAGTAACCCTGACAGAAGAGGAGACTGTGGGAAAAGCAAAAGCCTATATTTTGTTTTATGTGGAGCGTCCAGTCCCTGCCACTCCGGAAAAACTTTAAATACCTCTTTTCATTCCCATAAACTTCACACATGTCCACCTTTCCACTAATACTTGATTGGATTTTATTTTTACTTTATGCACTTTCACAGCTCTTTTGAGCGTTGTCTGGCTGTCAGTGATAGAGTAAGATGTATTTACAGAACTCCATCACCACCTCTGCTGCCATAGAGATCTACAGTTCTCTCAACAAAATTTAATGATGCAGTATATACCTGAATTTTGACTAGGTAAAAAAAATAAAAATAAAAAGGCAATGTGATCATGAAATAAGTTGATGAACAGTAGTGGAACTCTGAATTTGGCTATGTTTGCTGCTGATTTCCAGTGAGGGCCTAGTTCTAGAAACTTTCCTTTTTGGGGGACATTTTGATGCAGTGCCTTAAATAACTGGAAGCTGATGGCAAATTTAATTCTAGCCATGGTGCCTCTTTAGTGACTAGAGAACATTGGGCCTTATGGAATAAGTATGATTACCAGTTTAATGGGGCAGTTAAAATGATCTGAACATTTTGCACTCTGTACATTCAGCAGTTGTTAATGCAGTGCCATAGTGCACAGTCTAAAACAAGCACTCAGGCCTGGATACGCATGAAATAGTCTAGGTTTATGTACAATTCAATGTCAGTTGAATAATGCAGTTCTACCTTTATGTATTGTCAATCCTGTCTACCAGCTTGTGTTATAATGGATCCCAGATGTGGGATCTGATTTAAGAAAAGACTTCAAATGTTCTTTATATACATTTTCTGGAGTAGTGTGTCATCTGAAGCAAAGGTAATTCACTTTTGAGTAATATTTCCATTTGATAGACTATCGCTTAGTCACTATTAGTCGATAAGTCACTAAAATCCTTTATTCAGTAAAGAATTTTTTTTATGAAGTGCACTAACCCTTAGCAGAAGGAATTCGCCTTGTACTATTCTCACTTCAGAGTTACTTTTGGCTGGTCGCTAAGGGTTATTACACTTATAATAAACCTTACATCACCTAAAACATATAATGTTGAATAGCAGGGCCTTGTTTTAGTCTTCAGAATAATGCGGTGTTCCTACTAAACCCAATGGATCCTAGGCCCCAGCTGTGAATTGGGTCCTGGACTGCTGCCCAAGCTGAGATTAAAGTGAACCTGTGCCCAAATCATACATGCTAAAGGATTTACATATTCTGAACAAGTAGTAAAGCCCTTTAAAACAGGACTACATTCACCTCTGTATCTGTAAGCATTGGGGGGGGGGGGGGGGGTGTTAAATGTTCACAAGACAGGCACTGAATTTCTATTGCTTTATATTGCAACAGCTTGCCAACCTTCTAATGTAAACAGCCAACAGGTGTTTCCAATCTATCAGAAACTGAGGCTTTGTTGTGGTCTCAAGGATCTTTGAGAATGAATAACTTCACATTTAAAGCAGCTAGAGAGGCCAGGAATGCTTTGCTTTATATGTTTTTTTTTTTTTTTTTTTAACTGCTTAGGAATGTGAATAGTTTAATGTCTATAGTATTGGCACAGGCGCACTCTAAGCCCTGCCCCACTTATTCAGCTGTCAAGTACTGCTTCTTCAGTGAGCAGTAGAGGCTTTGACAGTTGAATGACATAAGTGGCTCTTAATTGGGCAGACATTGCGGCCTCTTGTAGAGCCTTGGTTAGGAATCAAAGGGGTTACATAAGAATTGGTTTTACTTTAAAAATGAGCCCTTAGGGACCAGAACTTTTTATTAAGTAATGCTGCATGTCTTTTAGCTTGCATAATAATGCCCATCTTTATTAGCAGGTGTTTTAGAGATTGGTGACTAGTCATTGGTAATAATGTCATTTACTGTAATTCAGTCATCCATCTTCCAAGCTGTCATTTCTATATGCACAACCAGCAGTGTGACACAACTGAAACTTTGATAGTTCTGCAGTTCTTTAAGGCCTTTTTGGTGTATCAGAAATGCAGGCAGAAACGAGCGATATAATTGTGATGCTCATGGCCAGATCCAGCTGCCCTCAAGCATCAGAGTGGTCTCGGATATTTATCCAGCTTGTATCCATTGCATGTTGAATACATTGGAAGTTGTGTTACAGGGACAGGGATAGTTCACCCTGTCTGTAGATAAAAACAAACTGGGCAGCTCTGACTATAATTGAATAATGCCCTTTACTACAAGTGTACCTCATGAAGTCGGACTGGAATACTCTCACGACATTTCTAATTGAGGTCTGATTGTTACTGCTCACCTCCTCCATTACAGGAGTGCGCTCTCAGACGCTGAGCTCAGAGCTACCATATCAGGGGAGAGAGAGAGCATGTGAGGGGGTCTGAATCAGAGAAAAAGCTCACTCCTGTGATGGTGGAGTAATGACTAGGCCTCACTTAGCAATGTCCTGGGAGTATTTGAGCCAGGCTTCATGAGATACGTGAAAGGTCTACTCCTTTAGCGAGGACATTATTTAACTTTATTCAGAGGAACAAAGTTTGTTTTTGTCCACAGATGCCCCTTACCTGCATAGGCAGTTCTTTGGTGAAGGTGAACTGTCCATTTAAATAGTTTATTGCTTACACCAAAATGGGTCTTATATGTTCCTACCTTAATAAACACAATCTTCCTGCATAGAAACAGAGCAAACAGCAGGTAAGGTATTTTCCAGTGTCACGTGCAGAGTTGTATGTTAGTTTACCTTCACTTTTACATTCCTGGGATGAGATGATGAATATATAATGTCCCATTGTTTTTATAAATGGATGTAAATCTCTGTACTAGTGTTAGAATGAGCTCAGCAGCAGCACTTGTCTTGTGCATGTCAGTCGGTTATTTTTCTCGTCATCATTCAGCCCTACTGTTCTGATGTTTTCATGTAATTGTTTAAACTTTTTTTTACTTTGATCATAAACCCAAAATGGTTTTCCTCTTGGAATACTAGGCCATATTTAATACCTGGATAGGAGGAGTGCTGATGTACTTTAATACATATTGTAGATGAGAGCTTTATAAATTTGTTTCTTGTCCATTGAGGGACAAAAGTCTTTTACTTTGGCGTTGTACTACTATTTTACAGGAGGATTGGACACTGGCATACTGTAGGATAGCCCAGGATAACCCCTTCCACTAGCAGTCTTTTACTACCATCCCAGGAGGCTGGATGACTTCAGCCCTGCTGTGTCAGACTAACCTATGCTAACTAGTACAATTTTTTTCCTATTCTTCAAAACTTTTCTTCAATCAATTCTCTCCTCTGCTCCACATCACTGCTAGAACTGGACTCTTCAATTGTAGCTAGCTTTCTGGTGTGGCCGTCCTCATCCAGGCTTTTGGACAGCTTGGAAATTACCTACTTTTACTAGGTTCCTTGAGGGTTTACTGCAGATCGCTTTCCAGGTCCACAGGCACCAGCATTTCTTCATCAGTTGCCCCGCAGTAATGGGTGCCCTCAGCTTGCACATGGCTCCATGGCTGCTTTCAGAGTGCCTACTGATGGTGATCAGTGACTGTGAAGTGTGCAAAGAAACAAATCTATGTATGATCACACTCAAAATCTCAAGTGTTAAACTACCTAAAACAAAAAGTGTTAAAATAAAACTATATAAAAAGCATCAACAACAAAATAACTTTCAAAATATTGTGCAGCTCTGTTCACAATGTGTCCAAAAACAAAGTTCTTAATGTCCACTATCAAGTGCAATATGTGCAAAAAAAAAAAAAATCACACTTTTAACCACTTAAAGTGCACCCTATAGCAGTTTTACTGCTACAGGGTGGACGTCCTGTGCAAATTCATGAATATATACATAATTTTGCACTTCCACCATAGGGGGCGTGCGTGTGCTGCCAGCGGATTGCTTCTGCTGTGAACACTCAGAGCAGAAGCCGATCTGTGAGTGCCGGTGAATGGATGTCTGCCAGTACCCTCCAATCGTTGGGCAGGACACAGAACAGAGCTCTGCCCATGTAAACATGAGGGGGTGTTTGAAGGATCGCGTGGATCAGCACAGCTGGGAACACGATCCTTCACTTCCTCTAGTAAAAGCGCCACCTACTGTACACCAAGCACATAGCTAGGCACACAGTTAACCCTTTGATCACCCTAGATGTTTAACCTCTTCTCAGCCAGTGTCATTAATACAGTGTCAGTGCATATTTTTAGCACTGACCACTGTAATGCTGTCACTGGCTCTCACAAAGTGTTAGTGTAAAAATGTCCACCACCATATCACAGTCCCTCTTTTAGTCGCTGATCGCCCCCCTTACTATAATACTAGTATTAAAAAAAAGAAAAAATGTAAATTCCAGTATATGTCCCCTAGTTGTAGATGCTATAACGTTTGTGCAAACCAATCAATATACGGTTATTGGAATTTTTTTTACCAAAAGTATGTAGCAGAATACATTTTGGCCTAAATTTTATGAAGAAATTTAGTTTTTTGTTTTTTTTTTTTACCTTGGATGTGTTTTCTAGCAGAAAAGTAAAAAAATAAAAGCTTAAACGAAGCTTAAAAAACTCCACTTATATAGGCGTTCAGCTTTTTGTTTTTTTTTTTCCTGCCTGTAAAGGCACCTGTATGTTGGCCTATGTGGGCATGCACACATAGGCATTTACAGGTGTATTTGAAGAAAAGCATTTACAGTAAGTAAAGAATGTACCAAAATCACATTCTAAGAGGAGCTTTTGAGCTGAAAAAAAAGGCGCACAAACACGTGTAAACGTGCAAGTATGCGCATAAATGTACTCCAATGGCTACAATAAATGAATATTCTGTCCAGTAGAATACATTTACACTCAAAATATGCGAATACATACTGGCAGAAAATAAATGTTGCTTATCTTCATAAGCCCATGTGCATGAGGCCTAAGAACCCAACTGAGATGCAGTTGGAAGCCATTTGTAGACCACTGTTCTTGCTGGCGGGTCCTCTCATCACCAGTTTTGCTGTGACTTTGCCAGATTATGGTTTACTGGTTATCATCCCATAGGGATTTTACAGTTGCTGAAGTTGATGTTTTGCTTATAGAACACACAG